TTTCCAATAATTTAAAACTTAAATTTCACTTCATTAAAATTAAATAGAATTTAAAATTCAGTTCCTCAGTCACATTAGCCACATTTCAAGTACTTAATAGCCACATGTAGCCAGTGCTTTCATATTGGATAGTTTACAGATAGAACTTCATTCCTTCTTACCCCTGCTTTGTTATGCTTTTATGAGAAGGTCTGTCCTTTCAGGAAAGAATCTAATATATATTCATCATTGCCTGGCTTTGTTACCACATACTTGTAGAGTGTGAGGGGACAAGGTGATCCAGGAAGAACCAGACGTATTGTTCCCCATTTCTTTCTGGGGTAAATGTGGGGACAGCTTAAGGATGGTCCCTTGAAGACGGTAATAAGAAGAATCCACAATGTGAGATAAACTGGAACAAACATAAAAAGTTTCTCTTACAGTGGGGATTAGGACCACACAAGTTCCATTGTAGAAAACATAGGAAAAAACATACCTACAAATAGAGATATTTTTGTTAAAACAAATGAAGACCCTTGAAAAGAATACAAGATCTCAGTACATTCTCTAAAATTAGGAATACAAAGATGCCCAATATCTCTGATTCTAAACAACATTGTATTTTAGGACATAACTAATACAATAAGAAAAAATATATATAAAGCATAAAGATTAGAAAGGAAGAAATCAAACTGTCATTTTTCACAGATGATATGATTACCTACATAAAAAATGCCAAAGGAATCTGAAAGTTATTAGTGTTGGCAAAAAAAAAAAAATTAGCATGGTGGCTAGATATAAAATCAACATAAAAAATCAGTTGAATTTCCATAACCAACAATGAAAAGTTAAAAAATGTAATCTTTAAAATGAAACAAATGCACCTAGCAATAAACAATAAAATATGTGCACAATCCAAAATTATAAAATCATATGTGAAGATCTTACAGAGAGCCTAAATAAATGGGAGATATAGAACATTCATAAACAGGAAAATTTGATGTCATAAATAAGTTACTTCCATATTAATCTATATATTTGAAATAATCCCAATTTGTTGGCTATGCCAGTACTTGTGGCCTGGAACCGGTTTAAAGGACCATAAGTAAGGACAGAAGACAAAATATAGATTTGAGCAGAGAAAATTGGAATGGAAAACTATCCAACACACATATAAAGCCAGAATACTCAAAGAGTAACACCCCCAGAGAGTGAACTTTTAAAAAAAGCTCCCCATAGAGGGAAACAGTAAGGATAAAGTCTTTCTCCTTGGTTCTGGGTGTAGTGGGGGAAAATTCCTCTCTGATAATTCAAAATAATAAGCCTGTACTCACACAAGTTTGGGTCCAGAATCTATACCACATGAGTGGCCAAAGAAATTCCAAGACAAAAATTTATTTAAAAACTTGGTCCCAAGTTGGTACAGTACTCCTGGGAACCTAGCCAAGCTTAATGTAAAACCTCTTTGGCCTCAAATAATTCCTATAGCTATAGTTGCATGAACCATGAAAATACAAAGTCACTGAACACACAAAGAAACAAGTTATCAAAAACGATTTAAGCCTGTAAAGATAACTGTTATTGGAATTTTCAGTTACAGTGTATAAAATAAATATGTTTAATATGTTTTTAAAAACATAAAAGGTAATTTAAAATATAAGGAAGGAACAAGAGATTTTATTATTGACTAGTTAGATTGGCTAAACAACCAATGATAAAACAGTAATGAAAATAATTGTAATATAAAGTTACTAGATGGAATAAATAAAAGATTAGTCACAGCTGAAGAAAGAATTAGTAAACCGGAAAATAGAACTTTTAAAAAATGAACCAAACGGGGAGGTGGCAGCGGCGGAGCAGGGAGCCAGACCGAAAGGGTCGCAGCGTCCGGGCGCCCCTCACACCCATTGCGGCGGAGGCGCGGAGCGAGGCGGGGCGGCCGGCCGAGCCCGGGGCAGCGGAGCCGCGAGCGGCCAGCGCGCAGCGCCGCCGGTCCACCCGCCCGCCCGCCGTCCCTGGCGCGGCTGCAGGGAGGCGAGGACTCTCTGACGACGGTACCAGCTCTTTGGTACATTGGATGACACCACATTATGAGTGACAGCAAATGCGACAGTTTTACAGTATGCAAGTGGCAGACTCAGCTTTCACTGTCCTGAAACGTTACCAGCAGTTGAAACCGATTGGCTCTGGGCCCGGGGAATTGTTTGTGCTGCTTTTGATACAGTTCTTGGAATAAATGTTGCAGTCAAAAAACCAAGCCGTCCTTTTCAGAATCAAACTCATGCAAAGAGAGCTTATTGTGAACTCGTCCTCTTAAAATGTGTCAATCGTAAAAATATAATTAGTTTTTTCAATGTGTTTACACCACAAAAAACTCTAGAAGAATTTCAAGATCTGTATTTGGTTGTGGAATTAATGAATGCTAACTTATGTCAGGTTATTCATATGGAATTGGACCATGAAAGAATGTTCTACCTTCTTTACCAGATGCTCTGTGGTATTAAACATCTGCATTCAGCTGGTATAATTCACAGACATTTGAAGCCTAGCAACATCATAGTAAAATCAGGCTGCACACTTAAGATCCTTGACTTCAGCCTGGCCCAGACAGCGTCCACCAACTTCATGATGACCCCCTATGTGGTAACGTGCTATTATCAGGCACCTGAAGTCATCCTGGGCATGGGCTACAAAGAGAACGTTGATATCTGGTCAGTGGGTTGCATCATGGGAGAGCTGGTGAAAGACTGTGTGATATTGCAAGGCACTGGTGGTATCCTTCCCGGGACCTTCCCAGCCATGCTTTCCATAAATACCAGACGGTAGCAGGAACTCAAAAGGAAGATGGCGCAACTAGACTCTGTCTTGAGGGGATCGTTATTATGCTCATCACAGAGTCACAAGCCAAATGGTTCAGTTAATTAAGTGAAAATACTGTTGATTTAGTTTATTTGATTAATTTAGCTAGGAAATGTAGTAGGCCAGTATTCATCTGTAATTTAATTAATATGCAGTTTTGTTAGTTATCAGTATGCATTAAAATATTTCCCCCAAAGCAAGAACTGAAGCACCCAACGTAAGCCCTAAGTGAAAAGGATTAAAATGAAAAGTGTATGAGGAACAATTTATGTTATATTTTTCCTGTTACTCTGCTAATGTGCCATAGAAATTTTTAAAAGATCCATCTAGAAGGTTATTTTGTGACATACTGGGAAAGTCTTAATAAATATAAAATGCAAAAAATCAACTGACACTGGTCAGCAAATCATGTTAATGACAGAGCGTGAAGGGGAATAGATAATATATTTGTAATAGCTTTCTTTCCTCATATTCATCATATTCTTCCATCTTAGTATTTGTTATGCCAACTTGGTTCTTCATATATACCCTTTTTCATTTGTGTTCTAACCATTTAATATTTTCATTAGTCTTTGATTTTGTTTTATGTTATGAAAGCTTAAAGTGTTCTCTTTCCATTGGCAGATGGATGGTAATTTTTAAAGGAAATCAAGCTGTGAAGTCAGTGTTTTGTTTGTATTTTATCAAAGTAAATTTAGTTTTTTATAATTTTATGAGGGTGCTTTTCTTGTAATATAAATTCTTCACAACACAAACTTGGAATGAAAAGATTTTATTCCTATTATTTTGTTTACCTTCCTTGACATTTTTCATATCACATGTTTTATGTGAAGTTATATTCAGCATTCTGTTTTGTTCTAATAAATTTTATAGCAGTTAAAAAAAAAAGAACCAAATGGCAGCCTTGACATATAAAATAAAGAAAATATGGAAGAGAAGTTAAAAGACATGAAGGATAAAGAAGGTCCAAACTTTATCTAACTGCAGTTATGTAAAGAGAAGAGAAGAAATGGAAGAGAGTCTGTATTAAAAGAGAAATACAGATGAAACTCATTGATATTTGTCTTGAAAATAGATTTTTTGGACATGACACTAAAAGCACAAATGACAAAAGCAAAAATCATCAAATGGGGATATATCAAACTAAAAAGCTTCTGCCCAACAAAAGAAAAAATTAAGAAAATAAAATGGCAGCCTACAGAATGGAAGAAAACTTTTGTAAACCAAAAATGAGATAAGGGGTTAATATCCAAAATATATAAATAACTAACACAACTCAATAACAAAAAAAAAACCAATCAAATTAAAAATGGGCAGAAGAACTAAATAGACCTTTTTCCAGAGAGAACATCAAAATGACCAACACACACATGGAAAGATGCTCAACATCACTAGTCATAAGGAAGGTGTAAATAAAAAACACAATGAGGTATCACCTCACACTTGTTAGAATACCTATCATTAATAAGACAAGAGACAAGAAGGGCTGGCAGGAATGTGGTGAAAAGAGAACCCTTATATACTTGGTGGAAATGTAAACTAGTACCACTACTATGGAAAACTATGTAGAGGTCCATCAAAAAGTTAAAAATAGGTCTACCATTCAAGCCAGCAATTCCACTTCTGGATATATACCCAAAGGAAATGAAAACAGGATTTCGACAAGAAATTTGCACTCCCATGTTTCCCACAGCATTATTCACAATAGCCAAGATATGGAAGATCAACCCAAATGTACATCAACAGATGAACTGATAAAAAATAAGATGTGGTATATATACATAATGGAAAATTATTAAGTTATGAGAAGGGAGGAAATACTGCTCCCTGTGACAACATGGACGAATCTTAAGCACATTATGATAAGTGAGATAAGTCAGACAAAGACAAGTATTATATGATATCAATTACATATAGAGTCTAAAAATGTCAGACCTATGAAAAAATAGTAAAATGGTAGTTACCAGGAGATGGGGTTGAGGGGATAAGATTGATGATGTTTAAGAGTACAAATTTATAACGAGTAGTAAATAAGCCATAGAGATGTAATGCACGGTGTAATGAATATAAACAATAATATTGTACTATAATGATGTAAAATGATACATACTGCTTCAATGACATTTTACAATATAAATGTATCAAAGTAACACACTGTATACCTTAAATTTATAAAAGTGACATGTTTCAACTTTATCAAATAAAGAGAAATATAGGATACATATTCAAGAGATCCAAGGGATTCCCATCAGAATAAATTTAAAAAATATATTTGATTTAATAATAGTGAAATTGTAGAAAAACAAGCATAATATCATAAAAAGACAGAGAGAAAAAGCAGATTCCCTACTGCAGATGTAAACTGTTAGATTAACATGATTTCACAATAGCAACAATGAAAGCCAGAGACAAAAAAAATCTTCAATAGGATAAGAGAAAATAACTGTCAATCTATAATGCTTTAGGCAGCAAAATGATCCCTGAAAAGTGAAGGTGAAATAGACATTTTCAAACAAATAAAACTAAGAAGTTTATTATGAGTAGATCCATAGACATGTTCTATTGCTGCACAACCATTTACTACAAACTCAGTGGCTTAAAAGAATACAGTTCTTGTGGGTAAGGAGTCTGGTTTTACCTTGTCTAGGTGCTCTGCCAAGGGTCTCAGCAGGCTGAAATACTGGTGTTATTCAGGGCTGCAACCTCAGCTGGGCTCCCAGTGCTCTTCCAAGATCACGATTATTGATAGAATTCAGTTCCTTGTGACTGTAGAACTGAAAACCTAGAAGTTTCCTTGAGGCCATGTGGCCCTCTCCACAGTGTGGCAGTTTGTTTCTTCATGTTAAACAGGAGAATCTCTCTGACTTCTAGTAAACCTTGATTAGGTCAGATCTGCCCAAAATGATTTCCCCTTTGATTAACACAAAATTGAATGATTATAGATTTTAATTACATCAGCAAAAATCCCATTTATCTGTTACCTAACATAATCACAGGAGTGAAAATCCATCATATTTATGAGTTCTACTCATACTCAAGGGGAGGGTGTACACGAGGGGGTAGAAATCTTGGGGCCACGTTAGAATTCTGTCTACCACAAATCTTCATTGAAGGAAGCTCTAAAGGATGTACTTTGGGTAGAAGGAAAATAATCCCACATGGAAGAGCTGAAACACAAGAAAGAAAAGTGAGCAAAGAAAATATTAAACATATGAGTAAATCTGCACAAATAACAACTATTTAAAATAATATATCTGATTTGTGAGATTAATGAAATAACAATATAACTAAGCTAAATATATTAACATAAATATTTTAATAAGTCAAAATATTGGGTTACAAATACCAATTCAAAGGGATTGGTTAATGCTAAAGAATTCTAAGATCTATGTATTATTTGCAAGAAAAATAAAGATATTGATTAAAGGCACTGTTAAATATGCAGGTTAAAATTTTTAGACTAGCCACCAAAGAACAGAAATAGATTGTACACTTTCAAAACAAGAGAGGGAGTTGAAAAGTGGAAAAACCATCCCACTGCACTTTAAGCTGTTCCCAACCAACCTTTCCTCTCTCCTTCACTCAGGGTCAGACTTGTATCATAGTCTGGTGGATGTTCCAGCTTCTCCCAGCTTCTTCATTTTCTCTCTCAGCCATTTCCCCCAAAATGTTTCTTGTACATTAAATCCTAATTTTTCACCTGCTTCTTGGAGAATGGCTCTGGACTGACACAAATCCCCAATTAATTTTATAAAATGGATATATCCATGGCAGCAAAATCAGATAATGGCAATATAAGTTAAAAAACATGACTATGTTATATCTAACAATGCATACAGAAGCAACACTATGACCAAGTTGGATTCGTTCCAGAAATTCAAGTTTGGTTTAATACTAGAAAATGTATTAAGGTCTTCGAGAAAAAGAAATAATAGGTATAATAGTCTAAAGGGAAGAAATAAAACTTTATTATTTCTAGATGGTGTGATTTTCTATGTAGAAAAAAACAAAAGAACTACAGATAACTCATGAGAATTAGATAAATGATTAGTTGTTTGACATATAATCAATATACAAATTTTAAAATACCATTTACAATACCATGAAAACATAAGATACCTGGAATTAAGTACAAGATCTTTATGGATAAAATTATTTTAAATTTTATAAAGATATTACGAAAATCTAAATAGATACGAGTATACCTTGTTCATGGTTAGGAAAACTCAAGTCATAAAAATGTCAACCCTCCCAAGTAGATAGAATGCAATACAAACAGGAATTTTGTGTACGTGAAATTTGAAGAGCTGATTGATTCCAAAATTTATGTGATGAACAAAGACCCTAGAAAAGAAGCAATGGGCCCTCAATCCCAGAATTCACTGATCTTATTATTATTATTCACCCAAGAGCAACTGGTTTGATATAAAGATGTAACAGGCCCAGTTACAGTAGCACCCTGTGAAGTTGGGGTACTGTCCTACAGGTTGGTGCATCTGCCTTAATCCAAAGGACATTGCATAATGCAGTCTCCCTTAAAGCCAGGAAGCACATGTCTAGAAGCCAACAGGTACAGGTAGAAGTTTCTCCTCTTCCTGGTATCCCTAATACCCACTGGAAGTTTTACTCCCCATCACTATAATGTGGGACTCAGTGGATTTGGAGATTGTATTGCCCAAGGGATAAAAACTTCCTTCAGAGAACTGGCAATAAAATGAAAGGTGAACTGTTCCCTGGCTAATCTGAGCTCTCATGCCACTGGGCCAACAGGAAGAGGAAGTGGTCATTATACCAGACAAAGTGATAGTGATTGATCCTTTGAGCCAGCAAACAAAAGGCATAATCAGAGGAAGGGCTGGAAGTCAGGGGGAGGGTGGCAAGTTAGAGCAGGGTCACAGAGGTTCAGTCTGTCTTGTTTAGGTTTGTTAGTTGGACCAAGGTATTCCAGAGGCTTTGGGCCATTTGAGGATCCTGAGCAGCTCTAGGGGGAAGAGTTACCACACAGGAACTGCTAAAATATTTTCCAGAAATGCCATCCAACTCCTTTGCCAAGCTTAGGTAGAGAACTGGGTTTGCACCTTGTTTGAGATCCTGTAGAGACATGGGGAATGTTGGGGAGGAGTCATGCCAGGCAGACTTTAGCTTGTGCAGGACAGGCTAAGAAGCAGAGTCCTGCTCCACCCTCTTAAAGAGGAGCCAGATCCTCCCCTACCTACCTTAATGAAGAAGCTGCTGAGCCAGAAGAGGACGCGGTATGTCCAAGAGAAATTCTTCATGATACCCGTATAGACAATACCTGGGTCCACAGAGTTCACAGTCACACCTGAGAGGGTGGGGTGCAATGTAGTACAAAGTGAAGTAAGAGGAGGCTGTGGGAAAGAAAGGATTAAGTGTGGTTCTGCAGTGTGCAGTGAGAAGATCCTACTGCACCTCTGCTGGGCAGAAGTGACCAGAGACTTGGGGGTGGTGCTCGGGAAGTCAGTGTTCCGCAACTTACATGAATGGTGAGATCCAAGCCAATGAGGAGACATAAGTATCTGAAGGTGTTGGGTGAACTTTAGGAGGACCATGATAGATGGTGTTGATATTGGGAAATACTGACTAGGAGGAGAGGGATGGTGTGCACATAAGAAAGTTGGAAAAGGTTGAAAAGGAGATGCAGAGATGGGGTTGAGAGAAATATAAAGTGTGGATGATAATGGAGGAGATTAACAGCTGGCTTGGGCCATACTGAGAGTATTTCATGGCCAAGGCCAAGGCATGTTGGGATGAGATGTGAAAGGCTGGGAGGTGGTGCTGGGAAGTGGTATAGGTAGTATAAGAGGCAGTTACCAGTCCCTTCCAGTCTGCGGGCAAGCTCCGTGGTGAATGAAGTCAGGAGTAGTTTGCTACAGTCGTAGTTCTGGTTGAAGGCCAAAGGTCTACCAGCCCCAGTCAAATGTTCCTCATCAATGTACCCATGTGCTTGCCGAAAGGAAGACACATTCACCACCCGGGCTGACCCTGCCCGTTGTAGAGCACCTGGGTGGAAAGAGGATCACACTCCTTCAATCCAAGTCCTGGGTAAACTCGCATGCCCATTCCCCAACCTTCTTCTCCAGGAGACAACAGGAGAACAGGGCCCATCCAGGGCTCTCAGAAGGTCAATGGGCACCCCACCCAGGCACCCGGGCTAGGCACAGGAGAGCTTGTGTGAATTGAGACTTCATTTTCATTAGTTGCTTGACTGATGCTCTTCTTCCTCCCCTTTTTGCAGTTTTGCCTTGTGTTTACCCCACTTATCAGCTGGATCTAATTTCATTGATCCTTGTTTATGTTTCATCTCACTGGTGGCTAACAACAGAAAGGAGAGACTGGAAACTGTGAAAGCTGTCTTTCACATACTTCATACATTAATTCACTTAATCATCCCATGAATGTTCATTAGGCTCCTGGATTATGGCAGACACTAAGAAAGGTACTAAGGACATAAGGATGCTAGCCTGTGGGGGGAAAAGAAATGTATGCAGAGATACTCAGGGAAATATTTTTTTTAAAACTATCTTCCAAAGGAACAAAAATAAAATTACAATCAGTAGAACAGTAAATCTTAAAAAAAAAAAGTGTGCCTAACTGTACAAAGAAAATCCAGATGATATAAAGTTTGGAAAATAATAATAGTTGTTCCAAATGAGTTTACAGTATTTTTTTCAAAATGCTAAAACTATTCTGATCCCTACATTTAAATTAAGAGTCACAAATGAAAAATTGAGCAGGTGGTATTTAGACAAAATTTGCTGGATAGAAAATTATTCTTAAAGGGGGCAATGGACCCCAAACTTGCAGACATAGTGACTTTAAAATCAAACCTGCAGACATAGTGACTTTAAAAACAGCCTAATTAAGGCTAATCCTCACAGAGCAGAGTTAGTGTGGGAACAGAGATGTGTACAAGGGGAAGGGAGCCCCAGGAATTGGGGGTGGCTGGGGAGGCAGAGGGGTCGGGGCATAGCACAGGTGACCTCTGTGCTGTCTTGGCAGATGAACTAAACTTAGCCAGGCTGAGGGGGGTGGAAAACGTTATTCCAGATAGAGGAAACCACGTGGGCAAAACCACAGTAAGAGAAAATAAATAGAACAGGTCCAAGAATACAGATTGTCTGGCTGGAGACCCGAGTGTGGATTAAAAAAGCACAAAAAGTGAGGCTCTCAGTCTGCAGGAGGTCCTGTAAGTAAACAATAGGATCCTGTAAAGGATGGAGTGCTTTCAAAGGATTTCAAGCAAGAAAGAGGTAAGATGAAAAGTGATTTCTGGAAGTGGCAGGAGAGAGAACAGAGAAGGGGAAACAGGAGAAAAGACAGTTGAAGGAACTATTACTAAGCAAGGTGCAGACAGGATGTTGTAGCATGTTACAATTTTGGGGAAGGGGGAAAAACATTCATACTTGTAAATATACAGAGTTATGCCTTGCGCTTTGTTCACTTTCCAGATGCAGCTAATTTAATCAGCCTCTAAAGGGTAATAGTAGTGGCCTCCTAGGAGGGGAATGGGTGGCTGATTTTCAAGGAGAGGAGGAGACTTTTCTCTTTCCTCAACGGTCTAACCTTTTGTACACTTTTGTGTTTTGGACATGTTACCTGACTCAAAAAATTTCACTTTCTTTTAAAGAGGTTATTACACAATCCAGGAGAAACTATTTGGAAGAATGTTGCCTACTGCCCACCTCCCACCCCACCCCCCATACCCCTGGTCCCCCCAGGGTAAAAACAAAGCCCAAAGCTCCTTAATCAGAAAGGATTAAAATATCAGAAAGTCAAAGGCCTTGGGCCCAAGGCAGTGGTGTGTGTTCCTCTATATTCCTGGAAGATCCTGAGCTCTTTGAGAACAGGAAGTAGATCTTCTTGGAGTGGCCTAGGAATGTAGATATCGAGAAGCTCTACTGGTCTGGCTAGAACTCAGAGCTGGAGGAAGAAGTGGGATCTTATATCCCTTGCTGGTTGGTTTTTAGGCTGACTGGTTCCATTACCAGCCTCGTAATCCTGATTTGTGTCAGGTGGGTTCCACTGCTGTGTGCAGTGAGGCACCCTGGGTCATTGCTCAGGAAGCAGCTGGATGTCAAAGGGAAGGAAGTGACCATGGGAGACAGTTTCTGGGAAAAGGAAAAAACATTCATACTTGCGAGCCATGAAAATGCCAGGGAAATGGAGAAGTGGGGGTGGCACAAAAGACCAGCACCCAGCCTTCCTTACCTTGGAGTAGGTTTGTGAGCAGAAAGGGCCCAACATAGTTGGTGGCAAACGTGAAATCAAGGCCTTCTGGAGTAAGTGTCTTGGGATATCCTGGGAGGAGATGACAGCGCGGTAAATGGGTGGTAGGACTACCCTGAGGGAGACAAAATCTGAGGCAGTAATATATCAGGGTCCAGTAGAAAGGCCACAGAAGCATGTATGTGCAAAGATGCAGGCAATGAAGTTTGAGGCTTAACTTAAGGTAAGCCTTGCAGAGTTGTGTATGAATAGCAAGATACACAGGCCAGACTTTGGGGATGCCTGTTTTGGGATCCTGAACTAGCAAGTAGGTTCCTGAAATGTGTTTGGGGGAAGCAAGTCAAGTCACATACCACAGACTGCCGCATTGTTAACCAGCAGGTGTATCTCAGGATACTCCTGCAGAAGCCACCGGGCAAAGCTCCGAATGGAGGCCATAGAGCTCAGGTCCACTTCACCAAGCACAAGGCAATTGCTCTTTGAGGCTGCTTGGATCTTGGCCAGGGCCCGCTGTCCACGCTCCTGGCTACGGCAGGCCAGGATCACACGGGCTCCACGGCAGGCCAGCTCCTGGGCCACAATCTTTCCGATGCCTATGGGAGGTTAGTCTGAGGAGTGACTAAAGAGCAGTGGAACAAGAGGAGGGGCAAGGATACTGATAGTGGGTGCTTATCCTCTTCCTTGTCCTTCCTGTTGGGGCTTTGGGGATAGGGCCCTTAGGGAGGGAACAGGGTGGGAAGAGCACTCACCACTGTTGGCCCCAGTCACCACTGCCGTCTTGCCAGTCAGCTCTGTGGAGCAGTGCCGGAGGTCCCAAAGATGAGACTTATACAAAAGCTGCACATACAGTCCAAACAGGAGGACCAAGAGGAGGACAAAGCCACTGCCCCAGACCAGGGTGCTGAGTAGCAACCACTGAGGCATGTCAGAAACCACTGGCCTACCACTGGAAGTGCTGCAGTGGAGACAGGGTGAGGAGGAGTAATCAAAGCTGCCTTGGGGAATGACAAGGCTGGTACACAGCCTGACACAATTTAAGGACGCACTTTCAGATTTGTTCAAGCACCATGTGTAAACCCAAGAGTGAGTTCCTCCTTAAATTGTGTGTTCTAGCCTCCTGATTGCCTCACTCCAATCTTTAACCCAAGTGAATCAGGGCTTCCCTGACTCAGAATAGACACAAATTATCTCTAAAGTGAAACTTGGATTTGCACTCTATGGTGAAATGATGGAGCTCCAGGAACTGGAGAAGCAAGAAATCAGATTCCTCATACCTGAAGTACTCTGTGCTCACGAAGGGCCATAACCTGCCTCCCCCACTTGAAAGGAGCTGAAGTTCTGACTGAGGTAAGACTCCACTTGCAGCCCATGTCTGCTCCTTTTGGGGGAGGGAATGATTCTCCAGAATGCCTTTATTCGGGAGCAGCCTTCACTCTAAAGCATCTCCTGAGGGTGTTAATGGGGTTGTTCTCTGTATTAGTGGCAGTGTTCTATATTCTTCTAGGCCTGCGGGAGAACTGCTGCTCTCCAAGTTAGAGTACACACTTTTGGAAGAAACTGACAGAGACATCAGGCCAATTCTTGAGGCAACTCAGGTGTTTATTTCTGGCAAACAGACAGAAGGAAAGTAGGATTCCCACTGCTGAGAGTCAAGGCCCAGAATGGGGCAGGTGCTTGGAGGAGAGTGACCACACTTTGGGGGCTGAGTTCTTTATTAGCTGTGCCACTATCACCTGGGGCTTTGGGGCACATGTCTGGATAGGGTGCTGCTCAGTGGAAGGAGAGGTGCCACTTTCTTTGTCCTCCTGCTGGGGTACTTCAGAGTTGAGCAGCACCTGGGTGGTTGGGTTCCACATGCTCACACCAGGAGCCAGCTTCACTGCTTCCCCAAGCAACATGGGCTTCCACATCACCTGGGACGTTGCCTGGAGCACTCCAGGAGCCCGATGAGGCCACCTGTGAGGATCCTGGCCCTCGCTGTCCCCGGAGCCCAGGCCCTGCGGAGGTACACGGGTGCGGCCGGCCCACAGCTCACGCAGCAGCTCAGCCTCCCCTTCCCAACCGCTGGGCCACTTGGCACCCGGCCACAGTTTGGGGCTGAGGCTGCGGGCCACTCCGGGGAGTGCCGCGTGTGTGGCGGGAAGGCCAATCCCGGGGCTGGGAAACTGCAGCTTTGACCCGAAGCCTGGAGACGGCAGGCCTAAACTTAAAGTGCGGAATTGGAGTCCAGGGCTGGGGCCCAAGGCACGGAACAGAACGTCAGGAGGGAAAGGGAAGAACACTGTCGGGGAGACGTGGATGCGGGGGCGGGGAGCTTCGAGGCCAGCAGCAGCCTCGGTCTTCACGCCTCGCGGGCGCCCGCGGAAAACTCCCAGGGGACGCACCTCCGAGCAGGGAACCAGAACCTCGGCCAGGGGGCGCACCCAGCGGCGGGGCAGCCGCGCGGAGTCCAGGCGCGCCACCGCCGCCTTGCGGCCCACCCTGTAATGAGGCGCGCTCAGCCGCGTGTCAGCGCGCGGAGGCTGGGGCGGCTGGAATGACCCCAAAGCGCTGCCTGCCGAGCGGCCGGCCACGCACACGCCCGAGGCGATGCGGAGCACCTTCTTCTTTTTGAGCCCCGCTCTGTCCCCAGCCGCGTGCGCCTGAGGCGCGCGATAGTAGAGGTCCTCCAGCAAGAACTGGTTGCTGAGGGGCTGTGCCCTCTCGGCCGCGGCCTGGGGGCTGGCTACCAGGGACAGCTCCAGAGAAGGGTGGGGACTGCCGCTGGGCTCCAACTCAGCCGACGGCTGGAGGCTCGAGTTGAAGGACCCGGCCGAGGACAGGTGGCCTCTTACCTGGTGGTCCAGTTCCTCTAAAGGACCCCCAGGTCCTACATCCTGAAACAGCTCCGGGGTGGGTGGGGGGCCCGGGGTGACTCTTAGCTCCGGGGAACGCTCCCAAGATTCCATCCGCTCCTGAGGGCGTCTATCCATCCACGATCTTCCTAAAGGGATCTGGTCTGTGCTCCCTTGGTGCTGGGGAAATGTATCAGGAGGTGCGTAGTGAGACATCCGAAAGGAGAGAGAGGAACTAAGGGTGGAGGAGTTTAGAGGAGCCCTGGGGAGCGTGAAGACAGCGGCGAGGAGGGTGGGGGGAAGTGAGAGGAGGAGGGCGGAGTTTGAGGCACCTGGGGACAGGGCTTACTACGCCTTGTAAGGTCTCCTCCATCCCCACTGAGGCGGGTGCGTGCAGCACCGGCACGGATCCCTGAGCCCAGGAGTCTGTCGCGCATGTCGAGGGCTCCTCGTCCTCACCCCATGTGGGGTCCTCAGCCACTGAAGATTCTCCCTCGTCCCGGGCCAGGAAGCGCCACTCGGTGATTTGCAGCATGGCCTCCCGAGCCTGGCTGACAGTGAATGGAATGCACTGCGGAGGCGAGAGAGTCTCAGCCTGGCAGGGAGTGGGTGGGGAAGAAGGGAAATCGGTCTGGAGCACTGGGATCCAGGCCCACCTGCTGGGTCAAGTAGACTTTGAAGGCGGAGTCCATGACTCGCGCCAGCAGATCTGCCAAAATATCTCCCACCACGTCCTCGCCCTCCTCGACCGCTGTGAGCGCCATCCACTCGGCCTCGGTGAGCCACCCAGGCACGATGTCTACCTGCTGCACTGGCACCGTAGGCGGCCGTGCCTTTTCCGCCTTGGATCGGGTCACCCCCCGGTCTCGGGCCTGCCTCTCCTGCCTCTGTGGGAAAGGAACAGGGCAATCAGGGCAGGCAACCAAGGAGTGGAACTGAGAAGCAGCTATACGTTAGGAGGAAGCTGTCTCAAAGTTCTCTAGTAAGAAGGAAAAGCCTTTTGAAAGGGACAGTTTATTAAGACCCTACTATGGGACAGATGTTTTTTAGGTGTTCAACCTAGCTAATTTTCCTAACAGCTCATTAAGCACATTTTACAAACAAACAGACTTGACACAAGTTAATCACCACGTACTTCTTGCTTGGGATCACAGAAACCCACGCTATACACACCTCTCACTCCCCAGTCATTCTGTTTGCGCTAGTTCAAAGTTCAAAGTTTAAAAAATTCCAAGAACTGAAGAAACAATGAATTAGTAAATGGTGCTGGAATTGTTGGTGCTGTTTAGTCTCCTACAATCCCCTAATCAACTTAGATTTTCATTTTACAATACAGTTCCAAATAAATTCCAGATGGATTAAAGGGTAAACACACACACACAAATAAAACAAAAACATAAACAAAAAATAGAATGTAGGAAAATAGGTTAAGTTGTCATATAATCTCTGGGTGAGAAAGAACTGCTTAAGCACAAAAATAATGTAAGAAATAATAAAGAATTAGATAGTTTCATTCACATAGGTCAAATTTTCCTGTTCTCAATTTCAAAAATGTGCCTAGTTACAAGCTGTTATTAGTAGCTACCAATTACTGACACTTACAATACATCAGTCACATACATTTACTCGATTCCTACGTTTTTTTTAGACTTTTTAGTATTTTTACCCCCATTTTACAGAATTTGCCCAGGATCACACAGCTAGGAAGTAGTGAAGTCATCATTCACATGGAGGTCTGTCTGACTCCAGAGCCTTATTTTATCTTGCTTCCCAACCAAAAAATAAAAAAACATTTGCAACAGAAATTTTTTAAAAAGGTAAATATCTCCAAATATATTAAAAACCCATACAAAATAATAAGTAAAAAAAATCATAAGCCCCCAAGAATGATAAGCAAAGGACATAGCATCTCACAAAAGCAAAACTGTAGACTAACATTTGAAAAGATGTCCAATCTTCAAAAATATCAATTCCAGTTTTACAAATATACCCAAAAGCATATTCTGAAATAACAATAAAAATATATTCTCTAAATCTTCTGCATCCGTGGATGTTTTGCTGCCCTTGTCTAGCTTGGATTAATACTTAGTCCATAGGCACACACCTGATCATCTACATTTGCCCTCTTACAGCACTAAATTATGTTTTCTACCTTTATCTTGCATCTACCTACCACTTCAGCATTTTATTAAAAATAATAATAA